TTAAGTGTCATGAGTAAGAAGAAATTTTACGATGCAGTCTATGTTTCATCCCTTAACTGTAACCCTCGACTCTCAGCACGAAAGCAGCGCTACTTGCCCATGTGTCATGCTCATGTATTTTTAAAAAAAGCGGATAAAAGAGTGAAAAAAAAACTTTCAAAAAACCACTAGTGGTATACTTTGGTAATTGTAAATCGTCGATGGATGATTTATGGAATCCAATATCCATGCCCGTTGGCTGTAGCAAGTGGAAGGGTGATTTCGGATCTGTTCGTGCAGCCATACCATTACCATAGTTATCGGCGAATATCAACTGCACGTTTGTTAATTTTACATTAAATTTATCATATGCACGAATTAGCAATTGCTGACGGCGTTCCGCATCCTAAAAAAATATGCAAAACACCTCAACAGTTCAACATTTCAAAAATTTCTTTATATGTTTCATTTAAATAATTTTTCCGCGCAAGCTGTATCACTTTTTAGCAGCGAATATGAATTTACGGGTTACGATGTCCCGTTTCATCAAGGGTGCCAAATTTTGAAGATTCCGTGTTTTGGGCAACGATTTTCGAATTTAACCTTACTTCAAGGACCAGTTTTATTTTAAATACGAATTTTCGAACAGTACTGAGTTTAAAATCAGTCTCGATCAATGCTCTGCTGTCTCACGGAAAAAAGAAGATAAGGGACCGAATTCATTACAGAGGACAAAGGCAAAGGACTGACTTAATGGACCGCAATACTTCTTACAAATTCCTTAATTTTCATTTCCCACGTCCCTTTTCCTTTTTTCCTCTTTTTTCCATTATTTTCTATTATAACTTCCTATTGTTGGGCAAAAATTTTGCTCAGGGCAAATTAATTCATCAGGCTAACCAGATTTTATTCAACAACTCCGAGTTCGTTTACACTGCTGCGTTTAAGGCCCCAAATATGGATTTATCTCAGTATCCAGCGGACTAACACGAAGTTGGACCAGTTACATGATGTAAGCCATAAAACATAATTAAACGGCGCTCAGGGCGAAACAAATAATTAATTGATACCCAAAACATGTCAAAAAGAACAGTCGGAAGGCCATCGATGCGGTAGACAATCAAATGTATGATATGCTGTGGATGTACAGAGTCCAAGAACAAAATCAGTAGCATGTACGTATCCACTCAATCCACCCGATCAACCCCTCTCCCTGTGCCTTCAATTCCAGTGCCCCAACATCCGCACACAGCAACTTTCAGTTGTACCAATGGAGAACATATCGTATATGAATCAATGGTGAACTATTAGCCGTTTCAAGTATCATCAAGCAAGTATTTCTCTGCTTTGTACCTAAGCTGTACATCCTCCTTAGTTACTTGTGGGCAAATGCATGTTTTATAAACAACAAAGGAAAATTTTGCAACCACATCACCAACTAGTATATTCGCGCAGCGTGATCAGTTTGTCGAAGCAAGTGAAAAGGTTCGAGCAGAAGTAAATCAATCCAAAGGCGCGACAAAATTAAGACTAGCAATATTTGGAGGAGTGCGAGCATTTACACTGAGCAAAGTGCTTTCGGAAAGCGAACATAAACGTACGCGACGGTAAGGAATTTCATAAAATATAAAAAACATGAAATTTACCTCATTACCGGTATAGGATGCTTCGGCAAATGAACTATCATCAACGGTTGTTAGCGTAAGTAAGCCAAGATCGGCAATCAGATTGCGCTTCCCCTCATCGAAGATACCACCTTCGGAGATAACAATTGTCAGTGGTGATATTCGAATATCCAGCATAAGTTTCGTCTTCGTATCGACCGCATGCGCCAATCCCGTAAGCGAACGTGCTTTCACATCCTCATAACGTGCCATTGCTGCTGCCGTTAGCCTGTTGTAATGAGCTCATCATTCGCTTACAGTACTTTTTCATACGTTTTTTCACATTATGCAAATGCAAGAATGTACACTGGCAAGAGGCTGTCTGTGTATGTATCTGTGTGTTCACACTTTTTGTCACCCACTTTCAATTCGAAAACCAGAGAAGCTTGAAAGCTAAAACTTTGGGAGCTTGTGTCCACCCATGTGCTGGCCCTTCCGTTTTAATATTATCAATCACGTATGCTTAGGTCCCACGTACGTGCGCCTGTAAGAAATTATGCAAATTTTTTGACGAGAAAGCGATCCCGGGGACCAGACAAGACGGAAAGCTGAAATCTCACTGGGAATTCTATGTCATTCTGCGCTAAAAATTTAAAATTCAGCTTTGACGTGTACGCACATACCGTGTACAGACGCGTTAAAGCAGAAATTTTGCAATCGTTGGCAAAATGTTAATTCCGGAAGAAAACTGGTTAAAATGTTCTCCCACACTGACTTCCCGGACGGTCTTGGTATTCGCTCATAACCACTGATGTGCGAACAAATTGAAGGCAAGCGATACTTTGGCGTGGGCGGTTTGTAGACGTAAAAAACCTTAATATCGGACGCATGATAAAAACTTACTGTTTCAA